GGGTAGGGGGGGGGAGGGGGGTACTCCCCCATATTTGCTATACGGGTATGTGCCGACCTGTAGGGTATGTGCAAAGTGCCTATTCTTGAAGAAAGGATCTCACAAATACTCGTCTCGAATCGGAGCTTTTTAAAAGTAAAAATCGAAAGGTATAAATTCGTTTAATGGACCAAAGATTCGATACCAGCAATTTAGAATGCGTGTATTTTAAGGATCGACCCCGGAAAATGAGGTAACTAGTTCTGATTTTGAGAAATCCTGTTCATAATATTTGACCTTTTGTGTTTTTCTTGCACTTTAACAAAGCACATATGGCAACATCAGAAAAAATCTGTTAACATTAGGTCAGCTACGATTTCAAGCTCACGCCCCCTCATGTGAGCCCATACAACTTATGTCTCAATAATGGCTATCTAGGTAAAAAACAGAGGCGGATTCAGTTAATTCAACTATTCACGGACTGTATAGATTGAATTCTATTGAAAAAAAAAAAACACCGTACTTTTTTAGTTGAATGTACGCTGTTGGATGTATTTTACAAGAGTAAATGCATGACATAACCGGGGTCAAGCTAGAAAATCGTCTCTCCTTGAAATAAAACAGAACCTGTCAACAAAAAAATAAGAAAAAAACAAAACAGAAGTGGATTTGAAAACCCCGGGCTTTCCTGAACATTTTGGTATATAATTCGTAGGAATTTGTTAAAATTTAGAACCGTATTTTTGCTGATTTTATAAGCTCATATTATCTGTTGGCCTATACATTCGCCTTTTATGGTTTCTTAGGTTTCGTAGCCTCGAAAACACGAAAAGATTTACGGGTCATTGAGGATGTTGTGTCACGCAGTTTACTTGTGCTATATAACTTTACTTTTAAGAACAACCTATTGCTTTGGAAAGAGAGGAAAAAGACCGGAAAGAGCAAATATTCCAAATGTGTGGGCAATTTTTTCCCATGAAGGCTGTTAAAATTTAACTATCGAGACGAAAAGCTTTTTCCCAAACAAATTAAAGTATGTTTGGTAAAAATCAAATGCTTTAATGTTATATAATGTTCTTCTACCCCGGCAAGTGGAAAACTGTTTACGCAGAAAATTATAAATCGAAAACTATCTTGACTCTGTATACATTTCCTTGTAAAATCTGACTTAACTCGCTTAACACTTTCAAGTGACACCGCTGCATTTTCACGCGGGCGCATGACCGAAATAGTTGGCGATGGGCATGGCCAGAAATCTCGGACATTGAGCCCGCGATCGCAAAGCGGAGTTCCCCAATCGCAGTACTTCGAGATCGCATCAAAATATATAAAAAATGTATGGSAGACGACAATATTCATGTAAATAAAACCTTGGGAATTATTATTTTTTATTTTGCCAAGTTTGTATTGAAGTCTATAATTAATTGTTATTTCACACAACTTATATAAAAAGTAAAATTCAATGAGCTTTCTTTGCCTTTCCATGGCTTTAATTTTGCCCTTCGCTATCGCCGATCTCCCTAGCATCCACTATAGATTAGCCAGAAGTATCCATACATCTTCACTTGGTTACAAAGAATCCATGACGCATTTTTAATTTGCCAAGACCGATCTAAGTAGGGCAATGTTTACTTTGATCGCTGGCGAAGAAATTGGAAGTCTTTACCATCAGCAAAGTTTGCCTTTTGGGAGTCAAAGCTTTTGATTTGTCACAAAAGAAGTTAATAATCCATGTCGAGTGTATCCTGCTTCCGGAAGGCGAAGATGACGCACAAAAATCGCCATTTTTTGGCGTTTTAAAAGGCATTTTCTGAGCGTGTTTGATACCAAAATAAACCTCTGAAATCAGGCTTAGCCATGCCGCAGAGGGTTTTGGGAAGACTTGCAAAGGAAGCCCAAAATCAATAGTAAAAGACTGTGCACTTTTACTTCCGGTGAGATCAAATTTTCGAATTACAAAACAAAATGTCGATTCAGTTTGATTTTTATGATTTTTAAAAGCTTCAAAGTACTTTAAGGGTTTATTTTAGTTGTAATCTTACCTATGTAAAACAACGATACGTAAATGCAAGTGAAATTTCATTCACAATACATATAAACAACCTATCTATTGTTCCACTCGTGTTAGATATTATTTTTTCGACTTCAAAATAATGTGGGTAGGTTTTTACTTTTTTCTTCCTGTTTTCATGTAAAATGACCGATGAAATGTTGCGTAATTGTTGATAGTAACCCTCACCATAGTCTTGTTGATAGTAACCCTCACCATAGTCTTTCTTTCTGACTGTCGCCATATTGAATATATCTCATATGGGTAATTCCGCTGACTTGACCGCGGGAGCAAAATGTCCGAGATTTCTGGCTATGGTTTAAATAATTTTTAAAAAAACTATTGGAGCCCTGGTATGCAGTGTTTTACTGAGAGCCTCCTCGCATAGGACCTCGGCTTCAAATCAATTATCTGTCATCTCAGTGGCTTAAAAAAGCATTCATGTTCGAAATGCCAACTATAAATGTAAGACTTTTTGGTAACTCAGTGTTCTCTCTACGTTTTAACTGATGAACCATGTCATTTAGCAAGCCACGTTTTACAGTTACCAATGGTAGCAAAGCCACGATAATTCCTTGCTTTCTGTCTTTAAACTACTGTTCATATATATTACACCCATGATCTATATAGTGTTTGATCAAAGTTAGAAAGCCGAAAAAATACTTTGTATAACAAAGATATCTATAAAAATGTAGTGATCTTTCGAAGAATTGTAGTAAATGTCTTAGCAAATTATCCGAAGCTCGACCCGATAGTCTCGTTTTGATGCTACGTTCATCACAATACCGCTGGTTTGTTGGGGTGGCGTGCTCATCCACGATAACAGTTATTGCCCCATTAAAAAAATAAAAAACAAAATACTTTAAATGAGAGAAGAAGAACTGCATTTTGAGTTAAAAGGTATTATAAGGCTATTTGGAATGAGAGTTTTGCTATACGGAACAAACCAAGGCGTACGCAAGCAATATTTTGATAGCAAGAATCGTCTCTCGAGCTCAGATTTTCTTTACCCTTTTTCTCAAAAACATTTTTTTCCTAACTAACCAACAGCGTTTCTTTCTGCAGTTGTTGTTGTCTTCGTCTTCTTTTTCTACAACTGAAATCGTTATCGTTATCGATCAAAGAAATGACTAATTTGACTTACTGCTGCACGTACCATGAACCGATCATAGATAGAAAACAAGTCGATTGGATGGCATCTACTTCCGTCGTTATCAAACTTCTGATCGCCGTTTCAAACTGCGTAATTTAGGGTTGGCCGGAAATCCCCATCTTATTTATAGGTTACCATTGGAAAAAATTGCCCATACATTTGGAATATTTGCTCTTTTAGAATTCAATCTAAACCATATAATACAGTCCGTGAATAGTTGAATTAACTGAATCCAATTCTGATTTTTGCCTAGGTAGTAATTATTTTGAGAAAATATCCAAAAACCGTGTTTTTGGGACATAAGTTGTAAGTGACCAAATGTTAACAGATTTTTTCTGATGTTCATTGACAGAACACCAGATCTTTACTGAATATATAACTATAGTGCTGGTTGCTAATGGTTTTTTCTCAACTGGTTTTTTCTCAACTTTCTCAACTCGCACAGAAACAGTTTGCTTTAATTTTTTTAGAAAATGTAGTGATCACAAACCAAGGGGATCCTTAAATGATTGATTACATATCTACAATTATTACATAGACATTAGTGTTTTACTGCTATGGAAAATATGCAACTCGTATTTTTCATACGAACAACATCCGGGACATATTTTGCATATCCTTACTAGTCAAGATATGGGAAATATGTGATTGAGGTCCCGGATGTAGATTGTATGTTTGTTTTGTATGTTTGTAAAACGTTGGAATATTTTTTTAAAATAAGCGTCATATCTTTAAGCCAACGTCTAATTTCTTTTTTTTTTCTTATGCAGACACATTCACGAACAAAAACGTTTTCAAAACATTGGAAAAGGCGTCATCGATATCCTTACTACTGAATATGTCGATAACGTCTTTTCCAATGTTTTCAACAATTTTTTTGTTTGTGAATGTGTCTATATAATAAAAAGAAGATCACACGTTGGCCTGAAGATATGACGATGTTGTCTTCTCGTGTTAAAAAATATGTCCACCACTAGAAGATAAACTTCATATGTTTGAGCCACCGAGTAATATCCTCTACATACATTATTAATACGGCATTATGCTAATACTTTACCATTTAAAAGTTGATGGTATCTACTTTCAACCATGGTTTGCTTAATTCAAAGACTCTTCGTGTGTTTCAGATTATTCTTCGATATTCCAGTTGTACGAGTGCTACCCAGAATTCGGTACTACATGAGCAAAACGACCTTTATAACAAATAAATTGGAAAATTAATGTGATATAAGAGATTTGCATAGTGGAGAAATTATTAGCTTTAATTGTGCCGATTGCCCTCTATCCCTTCAGGGGGTTTAAGAAGTTCATTTATTCATTTCGATAGTCATTCATTCATTTATTCATCGGCGAGGGCCACCTGCAAATTATCTTTATAGATAAAGAATTGATGTTAGCACCATTGGTTCATTTTCTAATTAATCATTTATGAATTCAGTCTTTCTTCTTTTTTTCTTTTTCACTGTTTTTTCTTTTGTTTTATTGGCCAAATGAGCCTTTTCAGACCAAATTCTAAGCCGCCTTTTCTTTTTTTGCCGCTCGTCGCTCGTCGTTCTTTTCCTTTCTACTTTTACAATACCTTCAACTGTCTATTTCGCCTATCGGCCTATTTTCAATACTGTGATCGCCTCTTCAGCATTTGTAACTCCTATGCATGTTATGTTATGTGTTATGTTATGTTTTATGTGGTATGTTATGTGTCCTTAAAAAAATGAAAAACCAGCTACTGAATGACGGCTAATTGCTCCTTTTCAAAAGCGTCTACTTTTCTTTGCCTTTGAAGATAAAAAATGTCTCATAACATCTAAGGGGAAGGCCCAAAGACTAACGCATGGACTGCATTTTGTCGTAAAACAGCGTTTACCTTGTTGGAGAAGAGAACGGAGGAACTGCGATAAGTGTTACGGTGTGTCGTAAAATATATGTGAAATGTTTCAGTACCGTTCCATTGTCTACATATCCGCACAATAAAGAAAACGCTCAACTTTCTCTTTCACACTCTTTAGATCTCTAGTAAGCAATGTTTTTTAATTTGCAGCAATTTGTCATATGGAAATTTAAAAACTAATTAAAATTATAAGCTGATTGATGTCAAGATGGCCTGCGGATATTTGTCCTCAATTTAACTAATTGCTAAGAGTATAGGTCCGATCCACTTATTTTGCCTACTCGTCACTCTCACGTCAACTATTGACTTCCCTTTCAAAATAACATATGGGGGAAAGGGGGAGGGGAATAGAGAAAGGGCTAACAAGCTGACACCTGGTTGGACATAAAATAAGGAAAATCATTTACCGGAAACAATTTTCTTGTTAATTAAAGTTGCAGCTTAGGAAGRGAAGGGCTTCCTGTTTTATTTATTTATTCATTATATAATAGATTTTCACGAACGCGCGCTCTGATTGGATGAAAAGCTATGTTTTATCAGAGTATATAAACATAGATATGACGTCAAAACCATGTTTTCTATACAAAATTAAACATAGAAATTAAGTCACAGGAATTCGGCTCTTCAATTTAAAGCATTTTCACATTTCAAATTTCAAATATTCATTTATTTTTATCAAGAATTATGTCTTTCCTCTAAAAAAGGAAAATTTGTCGTTTTGAAGCACATTTGATTGTTACTACATTTCGACGAGTAAAGCTTTCTTTCGTTTGTGCTGCGACTATATTGACCTTGTTAAGCTCCCTCAGAAGCTTTTTGCTTGATCGTGATGGTGTTAGAGAAGTCAAAAAAATAAAATTTAAAATTTTTTTTCATAGTCTAACAAGAATGAACAAATCTATTGTAAGAAATTTAAGCTTACTTTACAAACTACCATCGTCAATTTTACGCTAATTTACGGTAATTTTTGTACCGTAATTTGTTTTCCAATAGCCCGAGTCTACGATTACAAAATACTACCTACACTACTATAGCTCAGGGTCAACTAAAAAAAAAACAAGTTTTATAAGTACTGCACTGCTAGCTTTCTTCCAATTTTGAAGATCAATATATTTTTCAGTCTCTCGGCTCCTTGGCATTCAAAGTGTTCATAAGCTGGTTTTCTTACGGTGGCCCACAATTCTCAGGGCAAAACAAAAACTCACGGCAAAACAAACTTAACTCACGGCAAAAGGCAATAAATTCACGGCAAAATAAACTTAACTCACGGTAGAATAAAGAAAGCCACGGCAGAACAAAGAAAGCCACGGCAGAATACAATGAAGGTTGTGGTGGGCAACGACGTATTGGGTTCCCTGTTGATTTTTTTACCGCGAGCAATTTGTCAGCGATTTTGATGTTGTAAATAAAAATGGCGTCTGGTTAAATACTGTTAAATTTACAATGCAAAGTTTATCAATTTATCATAACCTTTAAAAGACTTTAGACTTCAATATTGACCCTGAAACAATAAGAACGCTTTATAATTATTCCAAAACAAAAAGTTT